AGAACTGCTGCTGCAGGGGTAAAGCCGTGTCGCGGTGATGCAACCACAAGCAGACAGGAAGCCTTTCAAAAGGAGTAAGTCCCTCTTCCTCCCACAACCTTACATTCTCCTTCCAGTGCCCCTGTTGGCAGAGCTTAGCACAGAGCCAACTGGCAGAGCAGAAATGGGTCAGGCAGAGCCCTAGCACCAGCATCATGCAGCTGGGGATAGAAAAGAAGTGGGAGAGTATAGACACAATAAGTTAACAACTGGCACGGTGTTGATGTCGTCTAGCTCTTTAAATATCTCTTGAAAAAATAAGTTTTCGTTTTCTTGAGGAAAAATAGGTCATTAAAACTTTTTCTTTAAAAAAAAGTCTATAGAAAAAGAAGTGCTGTAAATGAATTAAGAACCATTGATTCTGTATTTACAGTTTCGAGTTGTTTATTTCTGATTTTTAGGAGAATGTATATATTTAGTAAGTCAATTTTGTTCCATAGCATATATACTCCCTCAAAAAAATTTCTTCAAAAAAGATCCTGTAATTTGAAATATTACTATTAGAATTAATTTGTGTTAAGTCAATGACCACTATTAAAATACAGACACATCTCAGTTAGTATTAGGCTTTCGTATAAAGAAGAGACCCTTAAAAAGTGGCTAAAATGCAAATAAGCATTTATTTATTTTATGCAAGTAAAATCTAAGGAAGGCATTCCAGGGCTCCTAGGGTGACTCCAACATTATCAGGGGTCCAAGTCCATCCAGCTCTCTGCACTGTCATATCAGGGGTTACATGAATATAAACTGTTCTAAGATGACTGCTAGAGCTCCAGCCATCACATCCATGTTCTAGGCACCAGTATGAAGGGAAGGAAGAGGAGCAGGTTGTGAGCCTCTTCCCTTTCAAGAACAGTTATTGCAAGTTCTACATAATATTTCCACAACCTACAAAGGAGCCTGTAGATTTTTCACTTGGAAATCATGTGCCCTGCTAAAAATTGGGACTATGTTAATTTGAGGGAGTTGGAGGGAATAGTTATTGGTAGGGAACTAACTGTCTCTGCCAGACTCTGGGAGGGATGTTGCTTCATGAATCACAAGCCTCGGTGTGAATGATTCCATCAGCTCCTTTTTGAAAGCAAGATTTCATAGGTGAGAAAAACTGGTGAGCATATGAGGATATTAGACTGGAGAGGGTGAAGGCTGCTGAATGGGGTGGATGGAGGATATTGAAACTCTATTTTAGACTCTCACTCAGAGCCAACATCAGCCCCACTCCATCTTTCTTATTATATGTTTATCCATTTAAAGAATTTGGATTCTGTGCTAACAGGGAAAGGGTCATGTCAGGTACCATTTATATTTATTTTATTTTTCAAAGGACTAAATTTTTTTTAAGACTTAATCACACTTTTGGTTGTGTTCTTTCCCCCTCTCTCCTTTAGAGAAACACCTTCTAATGCCAGGATGAGTTCTACATTTTCATGGTTATGACATTCATCTTTGTGAGTTTGCCTCTCTCGTTTCATGAACCCCAAAGGGAATGGAAAAAAGGCATATTGATAAAATGTGGTGCCTTCCAAGACATTCTTTAAACATCCTATGTGCAAATATGGTCAAAATGAATAATTCAGGCCAACTGAGTGAACACTTCTCCAGGGATGCTTGGGGGTGAAACTGGCTGGTTTTGCAGTGATTCTCTTTATAAATTAGCAGCATTGCTTTATGACATGTCTGGGTGGTAGGTCAGTTTTTTATGTGGTTTAAGGGTATGCATTTAGTATTTTCCAGCACTTTCACTCTTAGAACTAACTTCTAGGGGAGGGCAACCGATGCTGTTGCCTTTGCAGAATCACTGTTGGAAACACCACACATTTGTCCATTAGTCATCTCAGAAATATCACTCGCTTCCCACTGCTTTATGTTTCATACTTTGATTCCTTTACTCACAATAAGAGAAAAGTTTCAAGAGGGCATTGGAAGAAGAAAGGGATGATAGGAAAAGAAAAGACAAAGATTCGCATGGGAATTTTATGACGTTTTATCATGTTTGCTGCAAAGGAAATGTTTGCTATGCACAAAAGCTTGTGTGCAGCAAAGATCCATCCCTCATCAAAATGAGGGTGTGGATGCAAACAGAACACCACCTGGCCTCCTGGGATGGCCTTCACTTTCACCCTGTGTCCATGATAAAGACAGGCTAAACCCATCATTCGTTTCTGACACACCCCACATCCCCTCACCTATCCCTACCCCTGGCTAGTTATGAAGATTTTTCTTAAAACGTTAGGGAAATCATTAAAAAAAATCTGTATTGTGCATTACTTGGAAAAATTCTTGGTCTAGAAACACACACATACACACACACACACACACACACACACACACACACACACACACACACACATTCTCTCCCACTTAACATTGAAAACATTGTCTTCAATAGCCCCAACCTCCCTCTTCCTCTTCTTGCATCTCAGGGGTTTCTCCTTTGTTCCTAATCTCCCCATCTCTTTTCCCCATCCTTCTCCTCAAGGGGAGCTTAAAGGCGGGTGAGAGCTTAGTGACCTTCCCATGTGGCATGTGAATAGTACATTGAATCAGGGATAAAAACCAAAGGGAAGACGCTCTGCTGGTGGAATTTAGGCAGAATGAATAATGGAAAAAGCTGAGAATTAGAGCCAGAGAGAGCTGGAGTTGATTCACAGTTCTGTCATTTAGAAACTGACTGCTTCGGGCAAATTTCTTGTCTTTCTGAGTCACAGTTTCTTTATTTATACAATTTAAATAATGATTTACCATCATTTGATAATTAACTTATGCATTAACTTTTAAAAATTAGTGCAATTCTGGCACATAATTGGCTTCAATTATTATTCTCTTATCTTATTAAGAGGAAGAGGGAGGAGTTTGGGGGGCAAGTCATCGGGATTTTCTCAGTATTCTAATCTGCTGAGAACCAGCTGACAGTGTGTGTGTAAGCAAAAGAGAGACAGAGTGTGTTCAGGGGAAGGAAATTCGATTGTATTGATTTTTCTAATCTGCCTTCTTAAGTAGTATTAGTGTCTGCAACTTCCTGGTATTAAGAAAATTTTTTTAAAAGTCTTTGGTGAACAAGAAATCAGAGTTGTTCGGGGTTATTTCACCCATGGGCTGACAAAAACCTAATGAAATATGTTTACACCATTCCTGTGTTCCCTAGATTTACCTTCTCTTTTGGATGGTGCTGATCAAGTGATACATTTCTCTAAGCTTCCTTTTCTGTGCTGGTCACTCTGGGATGAACACATACTTTTGCCACATGTGTTAATACTACTGTCTTATAATCTGTCAAAATGAAGAATGACTTCCTTCTCCATGCCACACCTTATTTGATACTCTTAATGACAAAGATTCAGACTTTTTTGGCACCAAATATAGGATGGGCACAGATCTCACACCTCTTGTTGTCCCTTATCAAACCCAACACCCAGTGTTTCCATATGATCAGCACTGCAGCCCTTGCTCTGCCTGAACTCAAGCATTTGCCCTAGTGTTGCAGGGTCCAGAATCCCAAGGCTGCTGCTTCTGTGATTGAGAATGGATGCTTTAGTCTCTAACCCTGAGCTGGGTCAGCCTTCAGGAAATGAATAAAGTCTCGAGGCTTTTGAAAATAATCATTTTGGGGGGCTCGATTATGAACCCATGGTAAAATTTACTCGTGATTGTTCACAAGATAAAAACTTAGGCTTCTGTCTGAAATAGGATCCTATAAGTCCTTTCTCCTGGTTTGGGAAATCCAGTGGCCTTGTGTTTATTTTAAAAAATTGGAAGACAAATATATATATGAAAGAAGAAAGCAAGTATGATACTTTACAAAAGAGCATCAGGCAATGCTTGAGCATCTCTATCCCATGGAAAAGCTGCAGATATCCCACTATCCCACTGGGATGTGTGTAGGCCTAGGCTGCATTCTTTGCCTGAGAATTAGGACCATACTTTATTAATACCCCTTTCCCATAATCAAGAAAAGTGGGCACATGGTAGATTACAAGGAGTTTATGCCCTTCTGAGGGTGTTCCTGATAATCCTCATAATAGTCACTATTGAATTACATCTTCTCCAGGAGTTCTTAAATTCAGGTTCGTGGACACTCAAGAAGTCTGTGACACAACTATGTCTCAATTAAAATGTATATCACAACTAAAAATATTTGACAAATTATTTCAATAATAGTGATAGTAAAACTATTTATTTTTTATTTATTTCTTCTTGTGAGTTGGAGTCTCACTCTTGTCGCCGAGGCTGGAGTGCAGTGGCACACTCACAGCTATCGCAGCCTTGACCTTCTGGGCTTAGGTGATCCTTCTGCCTCAGCCTTCCAAGTAGCTGGAACTATAGACACACGCCACCATGCCCGGCTAGATTTTTTGTGATTTATTGTAGAGATGGTTGTTTTTATTTTTTGCTTTTAAAAACATTCTGATAAGTCCATAGGTTTTACAGAACTGTCAAAGGGAACCATAGCACTAGAAAGTTAAGAATCTCTGAGGTAGTAGAAGTTTCTGTGGGGTCCAGGATTTTTTTTTTTTTTAATGGCTTGCTGATTTAATTAATCTAATTTTCTGAGTTCTTGATGTTCTCTTTTATTAGTCTCTCCACCCTAGCCTCAGCCTCTGTTGGTTTGTGCCATCTTTGTCTGTGATGTGCTGTTACTGTCAATTTTCTTTTCTTGAACATTAGTTTCAATATGATGATAGTTCAATTCATGATGGAAAATATCTTCACAATATGATGATAGTACAATTCATGATGGAAAATGTCTTCATGTTTACTTCAAAGCTTATCACCCAAATCCTATGTGCTAGTTACTATGCCAGCCAAGGAAGATATGAGGTCAATATTAATAAACAAATACTACCCTTGATCAGTTTATAATCTAAGGAGTGTGTGTGTGTGTGTGTGTGTGTGTGTGTGTGTGTGTGTGTGTGTGTGTACATAATAACTTCTTAATTTATATTCCCCACTCCCCTCCACAGATCTTGGAGACATCTGAGGTTTACTGGGGACTTTCCAACATTCCAGACTGCTGCCCTGCAATGAAAGCTCTGAGTCACGGTCTGTGGGACTAAGGTACTGGCAACAATGTAAACACCAGGACAGCCAACCTCACTAACCTTCACTCTAAGCAGAAGCCCAGACTGAGGCTGACCTGAACTCAGAGCAAGCACTAGAGAAAGACATCTTTGTTGATGGAAAGAGGAAAGAAGAAAAGGGTTTCCAGTAAACTTCAACAAACTTTCCATCATTCTAAAGAACCCACCTTCCTTATCAACCAAGCTGGAGTTCTATCTAGTGACTCTTATTCTAGCCTTTTGCCAGAAACAGAAGGTGTCAATCCTGGTGAAAAAAAAAAGACTAATGCTCAGAAAAATAGACCTGGGACGGTGATACTCTCAAAACCCTCATATAGGAGAATTATGTCGGAAAGCCAACTCAGCCCCCCTGTAATTCCATCCCGCAGGCCTGGATTCCGGGTGTGCTACATCTGTGGCCGAGAATTTGGATCTCAGTCACTTGCCATTCATGAGCCCCAGTGCTTGGAGAAGTGGCGTATTGAAAACAGCAAGCTGCCCAAGCACCTAAGGAGGCCAGAGCCCTCCAAACCACAGCCTCTCAGCAGCAGTGGGTCCTACAGTCTCCAGGCAGCTAATGAGGCTGCATTTCAGAGTGCCCAGGCTCAGCTGCTGCCCTGTGACTCCTGTGGCCGCACCTTCTTGCCAGATCGTCTTCTTGTCCACCAGAGAAGCTGCAAGTCAAAGGGTAAGGAACCCAGAGCACATCCCAACAGTCCTGACAATCTTACGGGTCTCAGGAAAACTCTTAGCGGAATCCCAGCCCGACCAAGGACTCTCATCTGCTACATTTGTGGTAGGGAATTTGGTACCCTGTCCCTTCCTATTCATGAGCCTAAATGCCTGAAAAAGTGGAAAATAGAAAATGATCGACTTCCCAGGGAGCTCCGCCTGCCACTCCCACAGAAGCCTCAGTCCCTTCCAACTGGGCAGTCCAGCCAAGAGGGACCAAGTCAAGCTCAGTTTGTGCCCTGCCCAAACTGCAGCCAGACCTTTGCCCCAGACCGCTTTCTGGTACATCAGAAAAATTGTAAAGCTCAAGCCAGTGGGCCAAAAGATCAGAATTTGACTCTAGGGAGTAAAGGAGGCCTAAAAGAGTCCACTGATTCCAAGCGGCAACGGAACATGGCAGCATCCAGTGTAACTGATAAGGTAACTCATGCCACATGAGATGCATTAGGTGGACCTGGTGGTACCTTCTGCTGCAGGGGAATAAAAAAAAACTGACCAAAGAATCAGCCACCCCAGCCCCTAGGATTCTTTCTTCCAATGCCTTATTTCTGCCTCAGTGTAACCTGTCCAAATGGACTCCCTGTTGGACTCCAGGGCCTCTCATCTCTTAGCTAAATAGATATAAGAACATCCTTGCCGGGTGAGTCCATATTCCTCTTCAGTTCTGTCGCCTAAAAGAAAGAGAGATGGATCTCTTTCTACCCTGATCCCACATACCAATAATCCCTGGGAGAGAGTGTAATTTAAAAATGAGTCATTAATACTGTGTCTACATTTCAGATATAATTCCCATTCCAACAGTCATATTTATTGCTGGTTTATTTTAGTCATCTACCTTAGGAATTCATTTTTGGCAATGCTGGGTTACACTGAGTTTATCTTACTAAAATAGAATTTGTGTCAAAAACCCCAAATGACTTTAGCAACAATTAAACACTGGAGCACTTGCAGAAATACACATGCTATGTAAATATGGCATGTTTTCTTTTAACACTTAAATGATTATAGTAAGTAGGGGATTAACCCCAGTATAGTCACCAAAGCAACTAGATGTATATCTAGTTCTGGGTGATGCTTAATCCCTGCTACTGCTCTGTGCCCTACATTTGGGCTGAATATAGGACCTGACCACCTTCCCACACATACCTGGGCCATTCTAAATAAGCATGATCCCAGGGATCCCAGCTTGTATGCAGTGAGTTGCTGGACTTTTACCTGGAGTTTCACCATCAACCAGGATTGGAAAGGGATGCTTTTGAGGGTGGCTGCCTATAAGATAGGGCATGGCCCATGCCTGTTGCCTTGCCTTTCAGCCAGGGAGTGGATGCACTGTCTTGTGTCCACCTTACAGAATATTAAATCATATGAAATAGAAAAGGAAAAAATCATTTCTCTATGGTTTGCTGCTTGAAACACCCAACCTACTGGGATTTAAATGGACTTTCAAGGAAACTAAGATCATGAAAACTATTGTAAAAGATTAAACCAGAGGGATCGGTGGAGGATGAGGCATTCTCTATTTTTAGTTAAAATTTTCTTTCATATAGTTATTGTATTAAAAAATAAAATACAACTGTTTAGTCCTTTTTCTTAAGTTTAAAATATAGGGACTGTCAAGTTCTTTTTCCTAAGTTCCACGTTTAAAATAAAATGATTATGATCTTACTGGTTTAGAAGATTCTAAGACAGTGATTCTAAAGCTGAAGAGTCAGACTAACAGATGCTGGGCAAGTTTTCCAATGAACATTGAAGAAAAAAACAGCTAGTTTCTTTGCCTAACTCTGAAAAACCAAACTCTTAAGTGTGGCATGGTCTTCAAGCTGGTCTTGTAAACATGATCTGTTTTTCCCATCTTCGGGCTGTGGCTTTTCTTCCAAAACGTGTGGGGTCTGGATTCAGAGAGTAAAAGAATGCGTGTCTCAGGGCCACAAGTCGGAAATTCTGTGAGCTTTCTGACTTTCAGGCCTGTTTCTTGATTGTATGCATTTACTTCAAACGTTCTCATTACTGATCTACAGATAGGGAGGAGTGCGGTCAGGATTCCTATGCTTGTTGTTGTAACACATACTTTGTGCTCAAGAATGGAGCCAACGGGCTGAGCACAGCATGTTCTCACTCAGTCACGACTGCTAAAAGAGGCTGGCCTGGGCCCACAGCTGCCAGAGAAGACACCTTCCTGACTCACCCAGTTGTCTGGAGGGGAGAATGTCAGGGGAGGCCAGCAATGGCTCGATGATTCGTGCATGCAGACAGGAGTAGGGGGAGGGGGAGGCCATCTAGAGGACATGGCCATGTCAGAGCACACCCAGCTCTGTTTTCAGGCCTGAGAACGCACATGTCTGTGGGAAACCGGCCTCCACCACGGTCAGATGTGTGCTGTCCTGTTTGGGGACCACACAGGCGTCAGTGGAGAGCATAGAAAGGTCATCCAACATAGGGTACCTTTAGCTTCCAGACTTCAAACAAACTTGGGCTAATTAAAATGGGGAAAACTCCTAGGCTTCATAGAAGCATAAGCTCTTTCAAAGCAATAATGGGCTTTATCCGTTCCTCGGAGAAGACATCTGCCACTCCATAGTGCTTTCAGCAGAAAGCCTTTCCTTCACAGTATATTTTTCTTTTCTAGTAATGATTTGATCTTATTGATGTTTTAATGTCTTTGTATCATACAAATTTTAGATAGTGCTATGAATCACTTACTTCCACAAAGAATGCTTCCCTGTTAGGTCAGAATTCCAGGGGGGCCTATGTTAGGTCAGACTGGGGGTCTGTGATCCAGTGCTACGTAAAAGATGCAAAGAATTGCACAGAAGTTAGATGGGAAAATATAGTTTATTTAGAAAGGAGAGAGAGAGAGAGAGAGAGAGAGAGAGAGAGAGATTTACCATTCACCTTCCCAAAGTAGAGGAGGGAACCAGAGCTTAGTAAAACATGGCTGCCGTAGCTCAAAGAGCCACATAACCTGATCAGAGTTTAGCAAAGTAATGGCAAATATCTGCTTGAGGGTGAATGTTTTTAAACCTTCCCTTTGATGGAGGACGGGTCATTAAGGTGAGTGGTGGACTATTTCACACAAGGGGCAGGTAAGCACAGGTACTGACATCATGATGATAGACAGCAGGCAGATGGGTGAGTCACATGATTGTTGCCATCTTGATGGGGTCTGTGTCACAAAGATCATGAAGGGCTGATTAGGTTTACTTGTTTCTTATGCAAATATTTGAAATAGAAAAGCTAATTAGTATGAAACAAGCTAGGGAGGGGTTGTAAAACAATTATCAAAGCTACCTCTGAGAAACCAGTTCTGTCCTGGGCTCATGATTAAAGGATAAATTAAAGTGAGCTGCTAGAAAAAACATGACAAAACTAGGCAATATTAAAATAGCTGCTCACTGGGTATATCAACTCCATCTTGGTCCCTTCACTATACATTACTAGATATCAGAATTTCTTCTGTCTGTGATGTTCATACATTCCTTTTTACAACTCAGATGATTTCCTTCTTGAATCCTTCATCCAACTTCAGATTAGAATCAGCTATCTTGTCTGATGTTTCTCAAGGAGTTCAATCTTGTAGTGGATTTAGGTAAGGGAAATATTTTTAGAACCATGATATAGTACTTGGAAATTGATTCACTCCAATGGGACGACAATAACTGTTTCACTGGCAGAGTGAATTACACTTCCCTTAGAACATTCCTCCAATGTAGATTAGCTCAATTCCCTTATGACACTCCTGTTATCCTTCAAACAAAACTAAACACAGATGCAGATTAGATGAGTTCTGCTCCAGGATCCTCGTGGGCACTTTGCATTGTCCTCTGACCACCATATTGGCTTGAATTGTCTCATTTTTTCTTACCTGAAATACAGGACTTAGTTTGCTCTTTCTAATCTCACAGGAAAGTTGTGAAGGACACAAAGCAGCATGTAAGAGATCCAAGACCTTAAGTGTGGGTTTTTATTAAAAAGGTAAGACTATTCTGGGACTGTCACTCTCCCATTCATGTGTAGTTACTGGGCAGCATTGCACTCCCAGAAAAGTCTGGATAAGTAATATTCAGTTTAGCAAAATGTAAAAAGTGGTGTCAATCCGGAATGAAATTTTGATGCATAATATGAAAAGTCATAGATGATCATTTTAAAATTTAACATTGTATCTATTTAATGAGATCCTTTGATGTCTATTTTAGTAAATAAGCAAAGCTATGATGAAGAATATAATACAGGTCATTACTGTTTCTTCTTTTAATATAAATGAATAAATTTTAATATTTGCACTTAACATTTGGAAAAAATATTGCTCTTTTCTAGAAGTTGATAGTAATTTATTCTCTAGCTTTACGCCCTTTCGGGTCAATTGGAACACAAGTTAACAGAGTTAATTAAATGCAACTATAACTCAAAATGAAGCCTTTGCCTAATAAATTTTTACTGGCTAGGTAATGTTTGGTGTTATTATTTTAAGATTTTGTTTATAACACGTGAACTATTGTTTCTAAAAACCATGACCTATATTGCAAAACAGGTATTATTTTTCATAAGGGATACTCCTTTTCTATAAATAATGGTCTCTCTGAATGTAGTTTGAAGCTACTCTTGGTATCCTCAATGCTCAGGTTTGAGCTAAAGCCTCATCGGACACATCTCTAGCATCTGGTGCTGCCATCTGGTGTTTTCTTGTGAAATAATGTCTTTGACTCTATCAAGTGTATCATTGTCTTTCTCCTCTTTGTGTTATCTCCAAATATATTTGAAAAGGTACTCTTAAAATGCAAACTCCAGTTACTTAGGGATGCCATTATATATTTGATTTAAAGTTATAAATGTTGTTCCTTGGCTAAATACCTTATTCTTTAAAAACAAAATGCAGGCCAGGCAGAGTGGCTCACTCCTGTAATCCTAGCAATTTGGGAGACTGAGGTATGCGTACCGTTTGAAGCCAGAAGTTCAAAGCTGCAGTGAGCTAGGAATATGCCACTGCACTCCAGCCTTGGTGACAGAGCAAGGCCCTGTCTCTACAGAAATAAAGATAAAAAATTAATTTAAAAAAGACAAAAATTCATAATGGGAAGGTCACAATCAGAAGAATTCACGCAGAATGAATATTATCAGATTTTCAAATTTTACATGTGTGCATGTGTATCTGTTGGGTAAGAAGAATGGAGAGTTTAGGGGGAAGCACAGAAAAAAAGGAAGTTTTATTGTGTACTCTTATGTTTTAGTTCATTTAAGCTACTATAACAATTTATCAGAGAAAATGTCAGAAATAAGAGTGTGAAAAAAAGAGTGCAATGCTGGGAGGTTGAGTAGAATGAGGACCAAAACATGTCTATTTAATTTGGCCAGGCGGCTGCAGTTGTTAACCTTGGAAGGAACATTTAGTGGGGGGTCATGGGGGTCATGGGAGCTGAAGCGTGTATGGGTGATAAAGGCAGGATGTGTTTTGAGAAGTATGGCTTTGAAGACTGGAGAAATAGTGAGTAGCCTAGACCAGAAATTCTGGGATAAGAGAGGTTTCTTTTAATAATGGAAACTTGTAGACTATGTTTGAATGCTTAAGATAATGATTCAGTGGAATGAAGGGGGTTGAAGAAGCAGAAGAGGTGACCAGGGGAAGTGCAAAACTGGAGGAGGAAGAGGCACCACGAGATGAGGTCACCAACATGTGTGAAAGAGGGCCTTTGATAGGAAGGGAAATTCTTTGTTTCAGGAGAATGTTGAGTACAGATTGAATACAGAAGGCAAGTTTGGAGGCTGGTAGTGGGGAGATGAAGGAGCTGGAATCTGCATGTTATCTTATATTTTCTCGTTGAAATATCATGCAAGCTTATCAGGCCCATCAGATGAGAGAGAGGTACTCGTATATAGAGAGAAATATGGTTAATTTTAATAGTTTTCTTAGTCTTTCATCTCTTCATGTCTTCCCTTTTGTTAAACTGAGTTCCTGAAGTCAAGACTGTGGTTCCCAGGACTATTTGTCTCCATGACCCCCAAATACAAGAATGACTTGAAATTCTGTAGCGGTGGTAGATAAAACATTCAGGATGATCCTACTTGGCATGCTTACCCTTTTAGTTGTTTTCAGGGGCCTCCTTAGTGCCAGTTCACCTCCTCAGCGGTGCTGATGTCACGAATACCAGCCTCGACCTCACAAACTGTCTTTTGATGATGCTGACAGCTGGGCTATTAATGTCCAGTGCCATGTGCCATTTCTTCATCTTTCCTTGGTGCCAAACATGCCTGCATACCAGGGCAACATTCTGTGATCCCATGGCTCTCAGGTCTACAAAATACAACATTGAGGTAACATGACCAGTTCTCTTCTACACTGTTGGTTCTAGAATTGACCCAAAGGAATCTGTGTGTATATATTGCATGTAAGGAATATGGGTGTTGGGGAGGGGAGTTACGAATTTTAGAGCAGGCACATCAGTGAAATATAATCTAACAGTGATACATAACTTCCTAATATAACATTCAAATGACAATATTCACCTGTATAAATTGCAGTCTAATGTAATTAAAAAAAAATTAGCCTCAACTTATAATTACATGTCTTATATCAGTGGGAAGAGAGACCATGATCGATACCAACTCCTCTCCCAGATCCTAAATCCAAAAGCAAAAATGAATTTTCTTTGCATTGGGGCTCTCCCATGTGACTTTCTTTTCCTAGAAAGAAAAATACTGATTGTAACTTCTGTGAGAGGAGATTATCACATACATTCATATATGTTAGGCCTAAAATTAACAAAATCTGCAAAATCTTTTTGTAGATTTTGTTAATTTTAGGCCTAACTTATATATGAATGTATATAAGTTAGGCCTAAAAAGATTAACTAGCTTAAATGATTTCATGTCTTCATAAGCCTTTTCCCTACCTTGCGTCCAGTCCCAAACACATCCACATTTCCTAGTGATAGATACATAGTAAATCTTAATATAATGACCAAATAAATACATGGTTCTTAAAAATCTAAATTCCAAAGTCAACAATTAAAATCTCTCCCAAAATTCTTAGAACTCCACCCACCAAAGTCAGTGCCACACAACCCAGAGAGAGTCCTTATTGAAATGGAGGTGACTGTCCCATGAACAGAACCTCACTGCTCCACGTGAGGCACAAGTTCAGCTTTATGAATAGGTGGAGGATTGAGAGAACTTCACTTAGGATCCCGTCTCTTTTCCTTTATATTGTTTATTGGTCCTCTTTCTTACATCTCTTGCTCTCTCTAACATTTACATCCATGAGTTTGTCTTATATATAAAGAAATGACCTACAAATTGAAGTGGGGCTTAGCAAATCCAGGAACTCAGTAAGTTTCCAATATTCCCACTCTGAGCACCTGCTCTGATGCCATGATCCCATCTTTAAAGTCCTCCAAGTACCTCTCATATGCCAGGCTACCAGTAAAAAGAGAAGGTGAAAACACAAACATATCACTAGTACCAACTGAAAGCTTCAGAAAATTGAAGACAGAGGACAGAAAGCAAAGATAGAAAGGAATTGATGTCAACAACTCTACTAGAAATTGAAACAAAAACAAAAAATCTGTCTCTTGAAGTTATTTTTGCCCCTTCCCGAGTGATAGCCTTGCTTTTATTGGAAGACTCCATTCCTTGGCCTTCTTCCTGATCTCAGAGCCTTCTAGCACGTAAGGTATAGACAAATCAGGTACTGGAACTAGTCCAACTTCCAAGTTCAGGTCAGATAGTATCTATGCTTTCTTTTTATCTTTTCTAACTATAAATGCTGGACAAAATGAGTGTCTAAGTCTCAGTGTTTTCCTGTCTTTCCCTTATTGCTCCCTGCTGCTTTATTTTACCCCATGACCTAGAAGCCATCCGGCCATGAGAGTCAGGCCTGTTGCCAAACTGATGACAGAAACCAACCAGGAATATCTTCCATTCATTTCCTTCAAGAAAAGTCATTTCTGGTAAGACTATAGCAAGAGATTTAATCAATACCTCAAACATTTCATCTTCCAACCAATGTTCTTCTAAGGTATCAGAAAAAAAAGTTTTATCTCAAATGTGAAAGAAAAAATTTAAGTTAGGAAACTATATTTCTTTCATAGACACTAATTTGGAATTGGTTCTTTGACCTATATTTTTCAGCCTTGTATCTCAGGATGAACAACCAAATAACTAAAATGTCAAGCATATATTCAAAACATCAATAGGTCTTTTTTAAAAACATCAAGTACATGAAGATACTTTAATATCAACAGCATTTTCAAATAAATGGCAAATCTTTTTTATGTTACAAAAATCTTTTTTATTGTTAAAAGGAGCAAAACAAAACTCCAAATCATAAGCAACAGACTCTCTTACAGTTAGCCAATAGACAGGCTGAATTGGAAAATTCCTTTACGTGGCATCCAGTTATTTCCAAAAAACAATTTAATTCCAAACAACGATCCTTCCAGATGTGACATTTGAGTAGAATTGTCTGAAAACACCAGAAGTAAATGGTGAAATACCAGTGGTTTCTAGACAATCGAACTTTGTAATTGTTGAGATTTGCAATAGAACTATGCAGTTACTCCTATATATTAAAATTCTATTTATACTTTGTCTGCATGTGTAAGACACACCTGAGGGAGTAGAAACTTAATTGTGTATATTCAGACTCAGTCAAGTTGGTTGAATTTGTGTTTTAATTGACTAACAACAACATTCTGTTTTAGGGAAATGAGTCCTTGGCATATTCTAATCTCCTGGTTCCTTTTAGCACCTTCTGCATGCCCCCACCCCTACCTTTTGATATTGTTGGAAGGGGATGGAGATAATATGACAAACTTCTTTGTGGAAGAATGTCTCTCATAGGACTATTTGCTTTCTGAAAAAGTATCTAGAGGCGGCAATGTTTGACCCAAAGGAATGAACTTTTGAGGTTGTTAGGAAAGCTGTGATATTGGCTTCTTTCAAATCCATCCAATGGCTGATTCTGGGCACGTAAAGCAGAGGCTGACAACCACTGACTGACTACTAATGTCCATATCCCTCCATGTTTCTAGAAGCTGCTGGAATCAGACAGACCTAGATCATAGATCATAGATGTGCAATAAAATCACTTATTTTGTAGCAAGTTACTTCACCTCCCCAAGCCTCAGCTCCCACCATGAGAGGCTGAAATAAGAAAATACCTGCAAAGGACCTGCGATGGTGTCTGACAAACTGTCACTTGCCAGCTCCTCCCTGTCCCCTTTGGAGTGGCAGTGTAGTGAAGGGTAGGGTCAGAAGACTCACTTTCTGGAGTAAAAACTGACTTTTTCACTTACTGATCACTACATGCCTCAGTTTCCTGGTTTGCTAAATGAGTTTAATGCGTTTTGTCCAGAGGGTTATTATGAGAATAAATGAGATGAAGTACATAAAGTGCTTAGTACAGGGCTTACTGCCTAGTAAATTCTAGGTAATTGATAACTGCTATTATGCTACTTGGTCAGATACATTTTTTTTTTTTTTTGAGAGAGAGAGAGAGAGAGACAGGGTCTGACTGTCACCGAGGCTGGAGTGACCTCCTGGGTTCAGGTGATCTTTCTGCCTCAGCCTCTTGGGTAGCTGGGACTACAGGTACATACGCTATGCCTGGTTGTTTCTTTTATTTTGTGGAGACGGAGTCTGACTGTATTGCTCAGGTTGGAGTCAGACATTTTTAATATTGCATATACACAAGGATTTTTAAGAGTTTTTCTTTTTTCATCAAGTATGAAGGGAGGGGAACTTTCCCTCTTATTTCCCCATCCAAACTTTCTGCATTCTATGATATACCCTGTGCACTCACCACAGATATCTCAATTATTTGGCCTAATGGAAGGGATCAAGAGTGTGGAAAATCTAAAACAGCAGCTAAGGCTCAAATTCTGTGTTTAATTTTATCATGCAGAAAGATGAACAATCATTGATGGAATGACATCCATTCTCACGGTGGCACAATCACATAGTTCTCTCACACCCTGTCAAGATGGGCCCTGTTTTTGACAACCTGGGATCCAGTTGAAAGTGGGGAAAGCAAAAGTCCTCAGAGAGAAATGGTGTGAATACACATGGTTACTTTGTGCACACAGTCTTGGAAATCAGCTTCATGCCTTATTTTGCCTAAGGATAGGTGTCAAGCCTCCTATCAGGTTCTGTTGTAATTGTCAGCATGCTTAAATTCAAAGGGATCAAGGAATCTTCAGTATGACACTCTCTAATGTGTCACCGTGGTTTTTTTTTTCTCTAAAATACTTCCTCTACTATCTGGCAAGTTTTTAAAAAAATTTTAATCCTACATTCAGAGATTCCTTTGAATTAAGACACCAAGTTCCTAACCAAAATGAAAAAAGATTTCCTAGATAGGTAACAGACTCTCTTTAGCAATTGGCACATCAATGTGAGTTAACCATAAAGTTAGTCCATTTCTTAGAAATGCGATATAGAGCAAATACCTTTTATTGGGGAGATAAGTGGGGAGAGGGACTGGGAAAAGAGGCAGCTCAGAGTCTCAAGCTCAAATGCTTTCAAGGGAGAGCAGGCTGCATAGAGGGCAATAGGGAATGGTGGAGCTTGTGGCATACTGGAGAGTAAGTCCCACCTATAGATATTCACATTTAAAAGTTTTAATGACATTGTGCTGGTCAAATGAAACAGACCTGTTTGCTGAAATGGCTGTTGGTGCATCATTTTATATCCTCACATCTAGAGTATGAAGTCAAGAAGAGACAGTACTCTGGGGTAGTCTGGGTTAAAAGCTGTAAAGAGGACAGCCTGGGTCATGAGAAAACATCTGTGATGCTGTCAGAATCCACATGGTTGTGTGATGGTTGTGAGCAGGGACCGGGGTCATGCACGCTTCATGCCTGAGCATAGTGTAACTTACCACCATCTGGATCACCTGTGAAAGTCTCCAGAACAGTGAGAACGTTCTTCTGGATCAGACACCTAGAAGCCAAACCTTCTGAGAATTTCAAAGGCCTGCAAAAAAGTTCAAGGTCCTAGAAACATTCTACATCTGGAGAGCAGTTTTGAAACTAATCCGAATGAATTCAAGCATGTCAGTGGGCAGAGAAGTCAAGATGCTTCCTCCACTCAGAAGGTCCCGTTGTCACCCACTCCCTCTTGTGCCCCTCTTTTCTTGAATAATTTCAGGTGGAATGGACTCTGTGCATGCCAGATAGGAATCTGTCAACCTATATTGCCCCAGAGAAAATTCCAAATAATGGTGGTTGAATATGGCAATTCCTACTCTCAGGGCTAGTTCCCAGTTCTGCATCTAGCACAGCGCCTGGCACATTGTTGGTAATCAGCAAATACTT